AAAGCCATATGTCATTGGCTGATACTGGCTCAATATTGTATATATTTTCTTCATGAAAAATAAAAACTATAAATTTCATTATTCTGCAGTTTATGTAATTTCAGTAATTTATGTTTAAGAGACTTACATCATCTTTTGCCTGGAATAAGTATTCTGCTCCACCAATTAGCCTATAGGAAAAAGAAAAAAAAAATAGCAATATATATATATGGAAAATGAAATCCCAAACACCAAGGAGAAGTTATGCTAGATAAATGAAATCTGGAAAATATGTTCGCAGATCTAAAGAATGATGTCTATTCAAATTTTGTGCAAGACAAATAAGTGTATTGCTAATAATGCCACTCATGCAAATTATTTTTGCTTTAAAACTTAGTGTGCTTAATTTATCTTGCAGATTGGTTGATGTGAGAGAGATTTGAGTTGAGCATGCCTTTAAGGAAATGAAGAAGACAGCATCTGCAGCTTACTGAGTTTGAATAAGGCCGTGTGATAGGGAAGGTGGATTTTCCTTTTGCAATACTGCAGGAAGACTTGGTAGGGCACTGTGCATGTGTGTTTGTAGGGTGACGGGAAAGTGCTGTGTCTAGAAGGCTGCTGCCCAGCCACATGCATGCTACGACTCAAAGGGAAAACTGCTGTATTTGCAAAATGTCTGTGGCACATTGTACTATATTTGCAGCAGACATTTGAGCTTTTATTGGCATCAGAGTGACACAATGAACTGTAACAAATTCATTATTTGAGGAACAACTGTGAGCCATATGCCCTGTAACAGCCATACTGCTGCCATCTGCAACTTGGGTTGTGTCAACTAGAGGTCATTGGAGGTTGGAGTAGAAATCTGTTGTATTCTCAGATGGCAGCTGCTTCTGTCTTGGTGTTAGTGATGGCTGTATGTTGATTAGAATGAGGTCAGGTGAGTAGTTGGAACCAGGCTGTCCATGCCATAAACACATTGGATCTACACCTGGAGCTATGATCTAGGCAGCAGTTTTTTACAACAGCAGGAGAACTCTCATTATCATCTCGCACACCTTTACAACTGGACTGGTCAGACTAGTGATTGTGCCAGTCGTGCTGCCATTCTTGACAAGTATTCCAATGGGCATTTTTCCAAAAGGATAATAATGCTCATCTTCATATCACTGTCCTCAGCGTGCTCTACAGAGATCAATGCTGTTACCTTGGCCTGCGAGAGCTCCCAATCTTACTCTCATCAAACATTTATGGGACATGCCTGGTGGAGGGACACATCTCATCCACAATCAGCATGGACTATTGCTGATTTGACTGAACAAGTGCAACACACAAGGAACTAAATCTTTCAAAATGACATAGATACATTTTTTAAATCTAAAGGTGGGCATTTGCCTATTTAGTAGTGGCTATCATTGCCTTCTATGTAGGGATGGACAGTTATAACCATGCCATCTACGGGATTTGAACCTGGCCCTATGGTACTGCAGTAGCCATCTGGGCAGCTCAAAACGACAAATGGCACGATACATCCATGTTTGTATGCCTGCGTTCAACACCATCGCAACTACAGGAGTTATTAATGAACCACCACTTCACATTTAAAATTACTCTTTTCAATCTGTGACCTTAAAATATTACTCAAATTATGTTACATAGACAAATGCTTTGCATACTTTTCATTTCTCTAAACTGATTTCTTGATTTTCCATCAAAGTGTGTATGAAGCACGCAATGTAAATTAACAATTTTTGGAAGCATAGTCAAGTTGAGTGGCTGAAAATCACTGTGGATACGGATAACCAGTATGCAAATATTGTAGTTACAGACAATCATGTCTAACTGTCTAAACTCCCAGGTGCACAGATGGTTCTGTGCAGTATCAGGATGAATTCCTACACCAAACTGTAGGACACTATGCTGCAGCAGTTGGTCCTGATTTTCTTTGTATGGGTAATAATGCTGTACCAATCGAGCTAACATCATTAACAAGTACCTGAAGAGAGAGGCATTTCTCATATACGGTAATTACTGTATTTCTTCAACTCCTCTAAAAATCTTTTGAGATACCTTTGGTTTGCTATCTCCGCAGGTTTACCTCCTCCAGCTGGTCTCAGATCTTGTTCCACTTGTATGTCGCAATTATCGTGCAAGAAAACACGATGTGTTCTGGCTCTCTGATGTAATGTCGATGGAAGCTCCAAACTAATGAGCACTGTCTGGGCGTAGAGCCAAAGGTAGGCAAGAGGGTGTGACCATTGTCACATATGAAGCAGCAGTTCTGTTACATTTTATTTGATCGGTCTACGAAGCCTGCAGGTTGGTGTGCACTGTACGTGAGTGAGGAAAGCTCTTGTAAGCTGTCATACTCTTCTGCTAAGGCAAAAGCATGAAAGTTTACTTATTTATTAAAAATTTTTTTATTTAGAAATTTCCATTAAGCCAACACAGTTCCATACAGGTGGGACAGTTCGGAGTTCAGCATATGACTGTAGGGGTTGAAGTAACTCTGATGAAACCAAATCATTCAAAATAGTTCATGGATTTAGAGAACAGCTCGTTAGCCTTTCTCATGAATCTGTCTATGTAACCAATTTTAAAGTCAGTGAAGTTGATCATTTCTCACATAAAAGGCCACATCTGTCATTATTCTGAGAAAGCTGGACTGTACAATGTGTAGCTTACGTATATCATTGTTGCAGTCACCCAGGCAGGAGAAGCATATGTTAGAATGGGTCGGATGGTAGACGTATAAATCAATTTCTTCTTAGCCAGATCTAATCTCAATTGTCTGCCAATGACTGGGTTTAGGTAGCTCATGACACAGAGTGCCTTTTTTCTAACATAAATAATACGATCACTCCATGTGAGATGCTCGTGCAGTAGAACTCCAAGATATTTTGCCTGTTTCACAATAGGTACTGGCTCTCTGGAGAAGGATAGGTTGTTTTTCATAGCAGCATTTCATTTTTTCCTTCTGATAATCAGGAGCTGAGATTTTTGTGGATTAATGGCTTATCTTCCAGCAGCAGCATCAATCTTTGATGAAAGGAATCCGTTCTTACAGTTTACAAATTTGCATGATTAATGTTAGCTGGTTTGACCGCTAAAGCTGTGTCATCAGCGTAACACGCTAGCATAAATGCACTGTTTGGAGTCTTGAGGAAGTCTGCCACGTAATATAAATACAAAATTGGCCCAACTGTTGGACCTTGCGGGACTCTGGCGGAAATGGGAAATTCATCTGAAGTGGCTTTTCCAATGTAACATGAAAAGTTTGATCTGATAGAAAGGAGTGCAGGAGCAGAATAAGTTCTCGGTCGAATTGCAGGTCAATCAGTTTACAGATGAGCCCCTCGTGCCAGACGCGGTCAAAAGCTTTGGCCACAGCAAGCATGAAAAGCACAACATTAAGCTTTGAGTGAAGTGCAGCCCTGGTAAATTCTGCGATTTTTATGAGCTTCTTGGCTTTCGATAGCTGCTGGTGGAATCCAAATTGTTCAGACGGGAAGTATGTGAAAATATTTCTGCATTTAATGCAGGATCACTCTTTCGAAGATTTTTCCTAGACCCGGCAAAAGGTTGATAGGATGATAACCCTCAGTCTTACTGTGATCTTTGCCAGGTTTTGGAATCATGATTATTTTTGCTTGTTTCCAATCCTTAGGAAAATATGAAATGAAGAGGCAAGCATTGATGATGGAGGAAAATTTGCTGATTGTGCTCATTGGAAAATTTTTGATAGCTGAGTTGGAGATTCCATCTTTACCAAGAGCTTTTCTAATTATGAGACATTTGACTAATTCTTTAATTTCTTTAGGCGATGTCAGAGTTGGGATGTAACAGGCAGTAGGAGTATTCAGCCAATCGCAGACCTTGAAGAGTGTGCTTGATTCTGATTGGCTATCAACAGGAGTTGGGAGAGAACTGCTCTTGTAGAAATTATGCAAAAACTTTACATTTTCCCTCGTTAGTGATGAAAATTTGATCATTACTGTAGATATCTCTATTGCAGGAATATTTCTGTTTGAATTTTTTAATTGTGCTCCAAAAAGATCCATCAGTGACACATAAACTTTCCATGTGCTGTTCCCAGATATACTGCTTATCACTTTTGATTAGCTTCTTAATTTCCTTGTTAAGCTTGTTGATGCTTTGTTTAATGGCAGGGTCCCATGTCAGGATATATTTCTTACGAAGCCAGTTTCTTTCTCGAATCGCTTTCCTGATGCGCACAGGGAGTCTGAGAATTTTTTCAGAAGCCAATACAACTTCTGAGGCTTCCTCAAAGACTTTCTTTATTGAAGTAGTAAAAGTTTTAACTGCATAGTCAATATCATTTTTAGTTTTTAAACATCCAATTTCCGGAGGATTATCCGAGAGTAAGTTTTGGAAAAGTGTCCAATCAGTGACAGTTTTAAGCTCACGTTTGGAGACTCCGAGTGCTGCAATTACCGGTATGTGATCAGAGCTTAGTTCGTGTTTTACTTCCATCGCTATTGGAATGGAAGATGTAATTAATATATCCAAGATATCCGAATAAGTGGGGGTTGCCTGGACAGTAATTGTATTCCCCTGGTACATGGAGAGCCATGTGGTTATTCAGCACAAAGTTGTGGAGAGTATTTCCGTTAACATTGCTTTTTCTGCACAGCCAGTCTCTGCGTTTGGCATTAAAGTCACCAGCAGTGATGACGGGGGTGTCCTCTGCTAGAAGTTTAGGCGAGAGCTTGCTTTTAGACGCATTGTATACAGCCCGAAAGTAGACGTTGTTGAAGGAACGGTGAGTGACACAAGTAGTGTGATACTTCTTTAACAATTTGAATCAAATTCTAATGATGGAACACAGCAATAACAATAACTTTTACTTAATACTATAAAAAATGGCAATATACAAACAAGAGAAGAAAAAGTATATAAACTTATTTAAAAAAAATAATTACCGTATTTGACGGCATATAAGACGCACCCTTATTCAGATGGCCACACACAAGGAAAAAAGTTTCAATAGCGTGGTTTCTTTTAGTTCTCCCGTTTCGTAAAAGCCAAACAAACAATTATTGAATGCAATTACCTTCACGTATAAGACGCAGGTAACTTTTTTTAGACCAAATTTAGGAAAAAAAGTGCGTCTTTTATGCCGTCAAATACGGTACATGCTTCATGCAAGAAAATGCATGCGGCTCTCGAG